TTATACACGTAATATTTTTTTAAATCAAATAAATAATAAAACAGAAGATTTAAACATAAATTAAAAATTAAAAAATTACTAGTAATCGTATTTTACTGTACACCGACACTCCCTCAATTAGCATTTTTGTCTTTCATGTTTTCTAGCTTAAAAGGTGAAGACAAATTCCCCCTCTTTATTTCACCATCACACGTAACTTATGTCGCAATTTTTCATCATAGATCTATTTCTTTTTGTCATTTTTTTTTTTCTTACATCCATTTAAGGGCCATCGAGTCAGGTATAATCTTGATAATTTTCACTACGTCAATTAATCTGCTTTTGAATCATGTGAAATATTTTCTATTATTGCAATCATTGTTGATAAAGGATTATATTTTTAAATCTTAATTTCAATGAACAAACTTAAAATTTTAATAACTTTGAATATAATAAAAACATATTGATGTTTATGTCGGTAGTGAATTTACTAAAGATTAAATTAACCTAAATCTTGTTTAAATTTCAACCATCTTCGAACTCTAGCTTATACCCAATGAACCAGAGCCATGGCTGATAACTTGTACTATTGTACTTTGAAAAGCTTTTAATTATATAATTAGACAACTCAAAGCCCTCTCCTTAAATTTTAGTACCTAGAAGGGCAGACATGCATAAATTCCTATATATATGATGTACGTTTATAAATGATGGGTTTGATGATATATAGCTGCTCAACCACATGCTACACCATGTGCTTTCTCGGAATAAATTTCAGCATTCCAATGTCGGCGCTTTCCGTTTCTTAACCCTTTGCAATTGGTTTAAAGATAACTGTGATCAGGACAATATATATGTATTTAAGTATGTATAATTAGAACAACGACGTGGTTATATAGTATATATATTTGATAGTTCCAAAAAATAATGTATTGTAATTTAAAGCAAGTTTTTAAGTTGTTATATTAAAATTAAACGGACAGTGCATGAAAAACGAACTCAATCTAAAATTTTATTTTTTTCACCGACAATGGAGTTTTTATACAAATATATTCATGTATGCAAGAGACCACAAAGTAAGTGACTTCCAACTTTTATATACTAGAATTAGCTAATTTTAGGTTTGACACTTCAATGGAAATTCATTTCTTTTTTGAAAATGAAAAAAGAACAAAAGAAGCCGTACGTGAATATTCATTCTGAACCAAAACACATTAAATATTGCGAGGGAACTTGCAAACTTTGAAATGGATTGAAGTTATATGCTCTATTGAATTGTATTTCAGTCTTGTTATTATCAAACAAATTCTTTACCTTATTGTTTCGGGGTGTTGTTTGTTTTGGACCTTTGAATGGGCACATAGAGAAGTCCGTACCGTCCCTGAAATTGGTAAGATGATCGCATTTTTCTTGGGAAAAGCACGTTCTCCCATGTGAGCTTTGTTCCCTTGAATTTCCTTCCTAACTTCCCCAAGTGGACCCTTCATTTTCGACCTCAAAATCTAAGCCTTTCATTCCTACATTCTCAGGGTATCTAAACGGGCCATTGATGATGGATGGGAGCTGATCCAACTTTCTCCAAGTTTCAGCTACAAAATGTGTATAGGGGTCACCAATTAACAGTTACTACAAAAGGCAAAGTCCTATCTTTTCTATCACCAATATTCTAATCCACTTAATAGGTCTGTCGATAGTGCTAAAGCCAAATGGCAAGTCATTCTCATCAGCCATTAATTTTCCTTCTTTTTGTTAGACACAGCCAGCCTTTAGGTTTCTTTCCTCATAAGCTATAAGTAGTTTTTCCAACTTCGTTCGCTAGAGTATATAATAATAATAGTCATGAAAACAAATGATAGCCAGCACAATGCATGACCCACCCTTGTGCCATATTGTCATATGAAAAAATATATAATTTTCACTTTGAATTTTTTTCATTAATAAATTTTACATTATTCATCCATCATATTTAAATTTGTAACTTCCAAAATAACATTTTAAATTCTAACAGTTGAGAATATACATTTGAAAACAAAATGAATGTACCATGATAATCTAAGGTTATATTAGGAATTAATAGGTTACCATTTGAAATTAATGTAACATTGATTGCAAATAATAGTTCTTAAGATTATCAAGAGCATATATGTGTATGCAAAACCAACAAAAATAAAACATGACTAGTGGAATCAATTAATTGGGATTACAAGAAAGACGAAAACCAGGCTCTAATGTTAATTAAGTTAAATTGTTTGCTTTCGTGTCTTGTTAACACACCTTTGATAGTTTCTGCTCGTTCTTGTTCACTTTAAACCAAAGTTTAGAGTGACTCACGAATATTTATATATATTTTTTATGTTAAATATATGTAAAATATAAAAATTATTATGTTAATATTTTATATTGACATGTTAAATACGAAATAAAATTTTTAGTTATTGCCAAAACCATATAATTTTTATTAAAATTTTAAATAGTGTCTCTTTTATATATATTTTTATATCATTTTTGTTTCGTGTTTAATATTATCAGATTTAAAAAAATTTTAAAATTTATCTCATTCTTTGATAATTAGTTAGTTGATCCCTTGTTTATATAATCATGTTAGTTCTTTTTTCTCTGATCTAATAATAAAAACAAAAGTCTATACATAGAGTCTTTATATGCATCATACATAAAGGTGTAGGGTATGATTTATCGATCCAAAGGTCAAAAACATCACATGGCCTGAGCAGGAAATGTGCCCCCCCCAATCCATAGCCATTTAGTCATGAAAATGACACAGCCTATTTGCTTATCAATTATAGCTGAGTCTCAAAAGGATCCAAATCTCATTTGTTATAGCACTATTTCGTCCGAGGCAAAAACATTGGTCTAAAGAAGTTTTTAAAAGGAAAGTTTTCTCAATAATTATACTCCTTTTTTTTCTATATACAAATAAGCTGCTAAAGCTTAAGGAGAATTGGAAAAAAAAAAAATCGAAGTGCTAGAAATCAAAATCCAACCTTCATATTATAATCAATAAAAATAAAAATAAAAATTCAACTAAAATTTTTTAAAAATTTTGTGTAAAATCATAATATGATAAAATATATGGGACAGAATGAGCATTTCTTTTAGCTAGAGGTAAACACTTATAGTAAATTTGAAACACTCACTAAAACAATTTCACCTCATATATATATATATATATATAAATAAAAGAGGGATTTAGTTAGTATTGTACATTCTCATTTTATCAAAATTTTTTAAGAGGTACAAGTTGTAGGGAGCATGAGTGAATGTAGATGAAAATTATGTTTGATTTTTGTTAATAATCTAAGGGTTATTATTTGTTAAGAATGCTACATTAATTTTTAATAATAACCCATTGATCCCTAATAATAACTCTTAGATATTGTCAATGATACATTGATCTTAAAACCATGTACATTAATAATGCATTAACAACCCTAGCTAGAGGCCTAGACGACCAAACAATTCCCGCTCTTCACTTACATATATATATATATATATATTTATGTTGTACGTATGTATGTTGTTTCAAAAAAAGCTAAAGAAAGATGAAAATCTACCATTACAAAAGATATCCTTCAATAATTTGGACATGAGAAAGGAAATGAAGAATTGCTTTTCATGAAAACCTTTCCCCTTACAAACAGTGTTATAAAATTCTCTTTATACTTTAATGATATGCAGAATCTAAGTCATCTTTAATGATGATGAAAAGTAACGATGGAAAGTGAACCATCATCACTTTATTAAGCATAATCATGAATGCAAATCACGCAATGATAATAAAATTTTCGCCCTTTACAGAAAAGTGCAAAAAAAGAAGAAAAAGAAAAGTTAAATGTGAGGTCTTACCTTTGAGTACGTGCTTCCCCTTGACACATGAGGATATACATGCCTATTACGTTAGCACACTACGTCTAATCATTAGTGGCAGCTATCAAGAACGTTCTATCCTTGCTTTCAGAGTTTTTTATAATTATTGTATTATAATTATTAATTATAATTTAAAATTTTTATACAAAATCCATACATATAAATGATAAATATCTAATAATTTTTTATTATAATTAAACAATTATAATAAAAAATATAAATAAAATGCTTTCGATGCCTGCTATAAGAAAAGGAGAGGGGGCCTTGAAGGCATGTCCTTGTTTCGGCCCAAGGCCCTCGCGATAAGAAGAGTCCAAGGCCTGTAGTAGAGTTGATGGGAGTCTCCAAGTAATTAGAGCCATACACAAAAAGTAATTAAGTGGCGATCATGCCCCGGCCTTGTGGACGCTGGGAGTTGGTACAATGGCCTAAATAATGAGCAGAGAGTTTTATATACAAGGCAAAATAAGTTAAAACTTTTTTTTCTTCCTTAAAAGAAATTGAAGCCCGCTTTGGGGCCTACATCACCAACCCCAAGCTCAGGTTTTTTCTTTTGGACTTGAAGAGCCCAAACTGGCTACATTAGTGTTTCTGTTGGGCTTTCTGTCTGTATGACTATCCACATCAACACATCGAACTTGATGTCATTTCAACATAGACAAAGAATTGAGAACCCAGTTCTTTTTTTGACTGCTATGGTTGGATTAAAAAATTCTAGTTGATAATTTTGAATAAGTAATAATGGTGGGGTAACACTTTTTTTTTAAGTCAAAACCCTAATTTGGATTGAAAATTCAATATCTGTTTTCATAAAAACATAAAAAAATAAACAATATTCATGGTAGAATGAACTTCAGAAAGATGGAAGAGTAATGCTGAATCAAATCCTAAAATGAAGTAGTCACCCTCATTGACAAAAGTAATTGATATTTGCTCGTTGCAACGAGGGTGGCCACTGGCCCCCAACAGTAGAATAGGCCTGATTGAGTAATGAAAGGCTACTGTTGGGGAGAGTTATGAATGAATGATCGATTATGAGGTCAATGGCCAACCAAAGGATAAATATGGAGCAGAGGGTCTAGTTTAAAAAGAAATCTATATATATATATATGTATATGTATGTATGTATGTATGTATGTATGTATGTATGTATGTATAGCAGCAGGCACTGGGCCAATTCTAACCTTTCTGTTTCAGTTGTTATAATTCACCTTATTATTCTAAACTTACCATATAAAAGAGATCCTTCCAATGATTTTGCCACAAATCCTAGGGGAATAAAAGATAAGTGGGGTAAAAATTTCATTAGCCCTGTGAAAATTGGTCCCTTGACTAAGTCTGAAACTGCTCCAATGTCCCTTGGCAATCCACTAAACCAGTTTAATATCAGTGAATTTAAGAATGCAATTTAACATGAACAAGTAATCAATGAACCTTAACAGATGTTTCAACTATTAACTTAAGGCCCATGTGCTAACCATTTTCTTAGGAAATTGACCTTGTAGCATTTACTTGGGGGCCTTGCTACCCTAACTTAAATCTTCACAATTCTTTGGTTTGTTTCTATTTACAAAATAAACAAGGAAACCTAACACCAAATGCAATTTGTGATTTGATAAGCTCTAGGATGGCATGTAGGAGATGGATGGGAAACCATTGAATTCCTAATTGAGATCAATATCAACTCTCTCAGGGTTTCCCCTTTCTGTCTGATTGTTAACTAGCTCTATGCCTAGCTGACCTTTGTCTCCTGCACCAAATGCGTAAAGCCTTCCCAACTCAGTGAGTGCAAATGTATGGGCATTCCAGTATATTGAGTTTGTAAGGCTGATCTGTACCACCCTTTCATTCACTTCCTTCAATGAAGTTACCAGTTCTGGGCTCAACACATTAGCATGTCTGTTTCCCTGCCAGATAAGCAATAAACCAAAATGATGATAGTTAATGAAAATTTGTACTTTTGGCCACTTGGTGAATTTATATGCCTCTTCCTTTCTCATGTTCAAGGACAACTTCGTAATATCAGTGTCCAATTAAAACTAGTGTGTGCATGACAAAGACAATGCTTGTTCTTCAAGAACAATGGCGTAACTGATAAATATGCATCAGATACTGTGGTTTCACAGCATTCACTTCTTCTGAAATCTATAACATTAAAAACAAGGTTAAAAGGGGGTGAAATTGCATAGCATAATGGTGTGTTGATTTCATTTTTTGGGAACAAAACAGTTAACAATCAATGGAGTCGATAAGAATAAGAAGTACTTCTCTTAGAGGTAAACCATAAATGCCCTCTATGCAAGGAACAACAGAGAAAATTGAAACTAATTAAATGGTTGATATCCTTTTCCTTCCAAAATTTATTTCAGAAATCATCCTGTGTGCATACCATTACTAGAAACTAGTGAAATAGTATGAATGTTAATCAGTTTTGAGGCTTAATCTGAGGTCAAGCATCCCGCAAACCCTTTATTTGATAACTCAAGGAAATTATGAAGAACCTTTGGTAATGCCAAATAAGTGCCAAGTTAACATCACTATAGAAAGTTAAAAGGGGAAGGAAAACTCAAACCTGTCCTTCTGCAGCAGCATTGTGTCCTAGGCTAGCAGATTCTCCACAACCAAAAGAGTATACATCACCATCATCAGATACCACAAAAGTTGTATAGTCCCCTGTAGCAACATGAACTGCTTTGACCTTGCTTAATGCTTCTACCACCTTAGGAACTGACTCACACTCTTCATTTCCATGACCTAAACATCCATAGCGTCCCCAACCCCATGTGCAAACCCTTCCATCCCGACCAACAACAGCTGCATGCCAAGCACCAGCAGCAACCACCATCGGCTGAAGATTTAGAAGCTGAAATTGTTCAATTAATCGAGGGTACTTTTCATCAGTTCTTGAGCCATGTCCAAGCTTTCCACCCAAGCCACATCCCACAGAATACACTGACCTAATAAGTCCAAAAGAAGGGCACACCACTAAGTAAATATTTTCAAAAATAATTCAAATAATCAAATAATTACATGTGGCTATACATGGAACAACAAGATGGATGTACGTTAAGATTCTAGAAAAGTCAAATACTATTAAAATTTCAGAATTCAGGACAGTCATTCCTTATTTCAAAGATATACGATGGTAATTCATCAAACCATTTTGAGAGTTACTTCAGATATGAGAATTTTTCTAAAAAGGGAAGGAAACAGAAGTATGCTTCTGCTAGATCAAGAATTTTTCAACATAGTTAGGTAATTTAATTACATGCCCTCTAATGTGAAGATGATTTTTAGATTATGGTAAGAAAACTTTGCATGCCAGTTTAAGAAGTCATTTTAAAAGGTATTCAGATGAACTAACATGCCACTTGGTTGACATGCTAGGCAAAGAAGGTAGCAGTATCCAGCTGCAATTTGCACTACTGGTATGTTCTCTAGTGCCCCCAATAGAGGCTGGGGCTCCACATCAGTTGGCTCAGTTTGGTGACCAAGTTTGCTATCCTTGCCCCATGAGAACGTGTAAACTCTGCCCTCTCTGGACAATACAGCTGTGAAAAAGTTTCCAATTGCTGCTTGCACCACAAATATGTCTTTCAAAGACTCAACAGGCTCCGGAGATGTAACTAGTTTAGTTCCTTGAACCCCATATTCTGCTTCACCAAAGGAATCCTTTCCAAAGGCATAAACTCTCCCAGCATCACTAATCAGCATTGTCCTGCCAGCCCCAGCAGCTGCTTGGATAATTCGAATGCCATGCAGAGATCTACAACATAATGTAGTTCCATTAACTCTTTGCATTTACACTTTACAGTATCCATACACAGTGATAAAAATATTGGCAACCTTATCTGCCGAGGCCGCCATTCTTCCTCAGTACTGCCATGTCCTAATTGTCCTGAGCTATTAGAGCCAAAAGAGTAAACTACTCCTTTTGATGTCACAGCAATGCTGTGACCAGGCCCTGCAATTGCGTGTGATTTTTCCCGCCTGCAACATGCTTCCCCAGCCAGCAGAAACCTCAGGACCAATTTCCATGACCCCCCACATCTTTGCTTCAGACTTTGACGTTCTTCTTCAGTCATTGGCTTAAATATAGCTCTTTTCAGGCACATGTCAAAAGCAGCAAGCTCTGATATGGACAATTCATAATCAGGGGCAAAGTTTGCTGGCTGCCTAAAGAAGGAGCATGTTGCCTGGAACACATGTTTAAAAAATCAAAACAGCCAGCAATATCAATTCTAACATTTAAAAGGAGCTTAATGTTCAAAAAGTTAAGAAAAAATCGACTTGCCTCTAGTTTTGCAAGATCTTGAGGGTCCAAATTACATGTTGTGAGAACATGAAGAAAAATGGAAGGATTGGCAGCTAAGGGAAATTCTCCAGGAGAGGAGTCCCCAAAGCAATGACGTACTTGTCGCTGAAATGTGGGTACAGAAGCAGCAACAATAGCAGTAATTGGTTGATCAGGTATGTTATGGTATTGTATGGTAGGGGTTCCGCTTGTTGTGGCATCCATGGGCACTGCCCGAGTTTTGCAGTGCCCAAACTTGGCAAATGAGATGATCTAAATTGCTGACAATTAGGAAATATGGGGTACAATAATCACTAACAACTCTCCAATGATTCAAACCAACTCCTAAATGCTAAATATTCGTTGACTTATTAGTTCAATCTACAAGTGCCAAAGGTATCTACCTTAAATAATGGATTGATCAGCAGACTTCAAGTCTCAAACCTACAAATAAAAAACCAGAAAAGATTCTCATAAAAACTCCTTACATCACAACAAGAGAAAAGAAAAACATTTTACAACACAAACTATTTGATCATTTCACAAATCACAAGCCAAAGGGTATTTTTTAAACCACGTGAACAACCTTATCCAATAGGACAGGCTCAGATGATCAAAAGCAAATCTGTTTGCATAGTTCGATCATTCAAGGATTGGCCAAAGCCAACAAAAATAGACCAGGTTGGATGATCCAAATTGTGACGAGAGAACCAAAATGGCCAAGCACAGAGACATCAAAACCGTAGAAACAGTGCCAGGAAAGCTTGTAGAGATGATCGAAAGAAACAGAAAGTTTAAACCACGAAATTTAAGGAGGAAGCACCGAAAGAAGAAACCTTTTAAGAGAAGAATACTAGTCGTCCATGAAAAGCATATTTCACACTTAAAAGAAAACCCAGAAAAGCAAAGAATTCCCCACATAAGGAGGAGAGTCTCCTGTTCACGTAAACTCACTAAAAAAAGTAGGATTGATCATTGACCTGAAAAAAAATCAACCATCCAAGCAAAATCAACATCCACCGTTCAAAAAACAGGGGATATATAAAAAAAAAAAATCCATCTTTTTGAGAAACCCAGATCATCAAAACCATAAGATAATCAAAATTGACAAAGTACACTCGATCACGTAGCCGTCAGAAGCAGACAAAAGGAGAATCCAAAAAAAAAAAAAATGAACACGGCAGAATTACATGTTTACTTTTCTTATAGTAATTCTATTATATGATCATCACAGATCAAGGCAAAATAACAAAGAGATGAAAATTACATATCAGAAAGACCCATGATTCCTCAAAACCCATCTGCATCTGTCAATAATTGAAGAGAATTACAACCCAAAAACAAGAAAACTGCAAATTTTAGATCAAATTTGGAAGAACTGGGAAGTGGGCATATCTAATCAGAGTCTCTGCTCTGGTTTATTTAAAGGGACTTGAAAAAAAAATGGATTGCAATTGGGATTTGAGAGAAGGAAAAATTAAAAAAGGTAGAGAATTTATTTTCTTTTTTTTTTTTTTAGCTTTATTGGTGTGTTAATTTTTCAAAGGAGAGGTGAGAGTTTCTCTTCTTCTCATATCTATTCGTTTTTTTAAAGCGATGAGGTGTCTTTCTTGCTACAGTCCACCCCCCTCCCCCCCATAAAAATTTATACTTCCTGAGACAACCTTTACACGTCGGCTTCCTCTTAACTATGGTAACTGACTTACCACAACCTCTGGTTCAACGAAATCTGAGGGGTATAAGCCTTTTTTCCCCTCAAAGATGACAAGAGACGAGAGGCGGGTGAATAAAAATAGGGACATTTTTTTTTTTGCTTTTTGCTGTTAATGTAGAGTTGCCATGAAGTTTCCAATGAAAAATTATTATTTACAGTCAATTTGGAAGCTCGATTGAAAAGTTTTTACTGTATTAAAAGATGCAGTTTATGGCTTTGGTATTTTATTCTTCAAAAAAAAAAAAAAAGCTTTGGTATTTTACAAGGATTATGATACTACAGGAACATGGACTGTTATTAGAGTCTTGGCATTTTCTTCTGTCCACTTTGATTTTTTTTAGTTAAAAGTGGATTCGAATTTGCTCTTCTGAACGTGAGATTATGTGTCAATCACAGAGCTAAATTTTAGGTATCACTTCTATGATATTTGGAAGCTTTTAACTATGGAATTTTAGATAGTAATCAGCCACTGTTATACATCACTTGACTTGCTGTTCACTTGGATTTAGAGAAGTATCAGGATTTCGGATTAACTATACAATTAGAAAATTTGGAGAATTTACAGATGCTTGGAATTTAACTTTTGCATGTTCAAAGAGAGTCCAAGGAAATGTTATGCTTTGAGTCAGACAGGCAGCACTCTGGGGTATGGGTCAGTAGAATACACAAATATAAAGTTGGCGTTTTTGTTGTTTACATTGGATTTGCTGGCTATATAGCATCAGCAGAAAAAATAAGGGGTTTCGTTTAGAGAATTTGCGGCAAACAAATGAGTAATTGTCTGCTCCTTTTGTTTTTTTTTTTTTTTACAATCAGGAAAAGGTGACGTGTGAACCAAGGAGTTTCATTGGTGGTTCATTTGCCTTTGGCTAAGAAGGGTCCACACTCCATTCATGGAGGATGCAATTAGCAGAACCAACTATCAGATAACATGAAAGTTTGCTGATCTGATTAGGGATATGAGATAACCACTTCCATGCTAATTAATTTTCCCTTATTTTAAGTTAATCCCTCGTATCCAGCAAAGAAAAATCCCTCGGGCTTTTCTGCAATGTGGTTTCTTTTGTAGTACTACTTCAGTGCTAGACTTTTTTCTACTTTTTATTTGTTCAACATAGATATGGATGCAATTGTTGAAAATGTTATAAGATCCCATGCTAAAAGTCTAGCTTTTACTATTGAAGGATACTGATCATACATACATGACTAGCACAAATATAGACCATCCATGTCTGATTTTGGATTCATCTCACTGCCTTTCACAGCTCTTACATCCTTTTCTATCAACAGGGGGTCATTGGGGTCAAGCTACATATATCTAAAAGGAGTGGAGTGAACCTAAAATCACAAAAATGATTATTCAGTGCAAACTGTAAAGTCTAGAGTTAAGATTCCCTAGAGAAAAGAGAGGTCAGAGAGAAAGGTTGGGTAAATAAAAAATAACAAAGTAAAAAGTGGATATCCTCTTATGTTCTTTGTTAATTCCATTTTCATCAGTTCTCAAATTTTAGTCTATGAAATGTGTCAAGGATAACTGGATGAGTGTATATTTCTTTTACATTAAGATACTTTTATATAAAGTTACGTGATACTATTTTCATGATCGGTGTATATGGAACTACAACTTCAATTCTAATACGAACAGAGAAACTATAGAAAACATATTCCACTAACATGTGAATGAGGAGTAAACTAAGGAAAATGTGATTTGAACTTAAAGCTTGCTAAACATTAAACAGCTTGAGTGGACCTCTTCATCAATGTACCATATGACCCATCTTCATTAGCTGTCATTTATTTAAAGGAAACAAGAGTTTTCATGATGCTACAACTTCCTTGAAAGGTAGAGAAAATGAGTTGCTTTACTTGAATGCATGCTGTAAAATTTTGCATGTTAAAAAGACTTATAATTACTTTGTAATTATGGCCAAATTTTTACTATGCTGCTGGAAAGGAAATCACTATCTTCCCTTTTCCTTCCCATTTTAGCTTGCTTAAATCAGTATTCTAATATTATGGTGACAAATAAATTCTTTTACTCTTAACCAAGCAAAATAAGATATTAAATTTATTTGCTATTCATATTTAATTTAGCAAAAAATATTGTATAAGCTGAAATACCTTACTATTAAGTGAATTTATATTTGGTCAACCGAAATCAATAGTGTTTCAAGATGCATTTAGATAGATAATAAAATTAATTTTGATGAAATTAAAAATAATGCTGAAAATAAAATTAAATGAAATTAAATATTTATAATAAAATATTTATTTAGATATAAAAACAATAATTATGATAAAATTAGGCATTACCAATCGATTATCCCGAAAAGTAATGATTGTTGTAAAAATATATTATTTTTTTTTATTTTTACTTTAAAAAAGTAAATTTCTCTATGCAAAATAATCGACTGTCCTGAAATCCAGTACTAGAACCAACTGTATTAGGAGTGTTATCCAAATACACCCCACCATGCAATTTTCCCAAAAAAACTGGATTATATCGCACCGGACAGGCCCTTAATCAATAAACTATTAGGGATTTATACATATATATTCTTTAAACACTTGATCAAGCATCTTCTGTTAACATTACCACATCATAAAATAAGCTGCGTGAGAAGATGCTCAAGTAAGTGTTTGAAGATTATTGGTGCATATATTGTTAAGTATTTGCTTATTGCTCCTGCTTTGCAATATTTGAAACAATGATGATGGGTCAGCTTCATCATCCATTATTTGCAAGACTTTTAACAATTTGATAAAAAAAATCAGCAAGTTATGAAATAGACTGCAGCCATGTCCTCTTCTGAAAAGCTTGCATCTTTGTTTCAATGTATGATCATGTTGGTGCAACATTTATAAAGGAGCTGAATAAATTACTAATCCTTACAAATCCCTTTTCTACATTCTTTCTTTAATATACAATTTTTTTTTCTAAAAGGAAGCAGCATGAAGAGAAAGACAGTGGATTTCTGACATGAAGACAAAAATAATACCCTTGTGTGCTCCATGATTAAAGGTACTGGAGCTCGCTAAAACACTACAATGGGGAATAATATTTTTTAGGTACTTCACCTTCAGCTTGACCCAAACATATTAAAATTTTTAACTGAAAGACGTTTTTATTTGAAATTATCAAGGTATAAATTCTTATAAAAAAATTAAAAATTTAATGTTTTAATAATATATTGCGTAATTATTGACAAAAAATATAATATATCGATTTGTCATCTTAATTATGAATTTAAATGAGATGAGAATTTATTAAATACTTAAAATTAAGCTTACCAACATCAATTTTAACACATGTAGGATGCATTATTAGCTTTATTAGTTTCTTGTGAAGATTCTCGATCAAGGCTTGCAAACTAAGCATCCTCATGCCAAGAAATTAGCTGGTAAAAGGAAACATAAAACATATAAAATAATATTGCAAACCTTGACATAGAAGGAATAACCAAAAAAAATAATAAAAAAAGGGTTGGACTTTTTTTTTTTTTTTTTTTTTCAATTTTTATAATTTTTAGTAGAAAATTTTAATTTAGAATAATTTAACAAAAGAATTAATATGTATATATTTAGTGAATTAATTTTTTGTGTTATTTTTACTTTATTTACTCTTCATTTTGCTAAATACTTGTTTAAATATTCAAAATAAAATCAATTTATATTTTTGAAATTAAAAATCTATCATAGGGGTTTTTTTTCTAGTTGTAAAAGAAGCTAGTGTCAGACTTCATTAGCAAGTGTGGCAGAGCATTGAGGGTTAAAGCTTTAAGGTATATTTGATGAGTGTTGTCTGCCCTGCCACCCATTTGTTGTGGTGTCGCCAACTAGTCAAGCAGTATTACAAGTAATGTAATCAAAAGGAAAGCACAAGAGCAAGCACGTGATTCGTGCGAAGTTGAGGTGGTCTCTTTTCACACTGCAATTTTGCCATTTCGCTATTTGCCCTGCTAACTTGAAACCAGGATCTCCAATTGAGATGCAGCATTTTGAACAATCCCGAGGTGTGAGATTTAGTGACGGTTCCCTTATATAGGAACATCAACCATTTTTGTCATCCGAACAAATAAAGCGTGATTAATTTATAATGCCAAAGGCATTAATTTTCCCAGATACTGATGTTTTGTGCCTAAGTATTATGACTTGTCTAATGGTGATTTTTAATTATAGCTTTCTCTACCTATGCCATTTCACCAAATAAATTGTTGCCTAAGTGAAGTGAGGGGCCATTACCAAGCTGCAAGATGATTGCTTCTGAGACCTTTCTTCATGCAATTAAAAACATGTGTAAGAATGTGCCTATCGTATACGCCAAGCAGCCACTCAATTTCTTTTGATTTTCTTTGCTACTTTGTCGTCTTAAAAGTCTGTCCCAAAAAACGGTTGATTGGGCCTCTTTCGATTTGAAGATCAGTTAGACCTTCCACCAAGCTCCAAGAAAGTCCTCAAAAAGTTCAAACTGATAAGGGCGCATGTTCAAGATCATTGAGTGTTCATGAATTCAACCAAACCGATTGAGGAGCAATTTCGATTTCTTGAATTCAGTCTCTCTTTGGGGCTAAGCTAATTGCATCTTGGTTGCATTTAAATAGCATCTCTTGTTGAAGTTGCTTTTGATTATTGACTCAAGGATAAGGGATTAATTAAGGGTGTAAATGATATATTAGTATTTATAAATTACTTGAATTTAATTCGAATTCAGTATAATTATTATCGAATAGAATTTGAACTCGCGTAACTTAACTTATCAATCGAGTTGAGTTCGGATATTTTTATACCCAGTTCAAATTATTCGCAAGCCTAATTGAGCTTTTATATTTTAATATATTTTAATTGATAAAATATTTTGAATTCGAGCACAAATAATTAAATTTTTATTGAATATAAGAATCAAATTTATTTTTATATATTAATTAAGCTTATTCAAATAAGTTTGAGTTGTTCGATTTTTATTTCGAATTGAGTTCGAATTGAAAAAATAAAATTCGATCGAATTCAAATCGAATTTCAAGCTTCGAATTTATAATCGAACTCGAATTTAATGCTATATTAACTCGAATTCAATTGATTATACTCCTACGTCCGATAATAACTAATCTTTAAACAGTTGATTGTTTTAGCATTACAATGAAAAATAAAAATAATTTTCCATTATGATTTTAATTATTTTTGTCGATGGTAGACTATCATACCTAATTTTAATGTTATTATTATATTTATATTCAAATATATATATATATCATTTATTTTAATCCAACAATTATAATATCAAATCTTCATGTATTGTTATTTTTAATATTATCAAAATTAATTTTACTGTTTTGAACACAATTACATCGAAAATTTGAGGTGAATTCCATTGAATTGATTTATCTAAATTATATTAGAATTCAATATATATTAAAATATTAAACAATGTTTTATATTAATATTTTAAATATATTTTAAAATTAAAATTAAATAAAAATACATTATTTATTTCTAGAATAATATTCTTGATTCGGATAGGATTGTTGTCCAAAACAAATTTGGATTGAATTTGATCTTCAAATCTGAATAAATAATATGGCTCGTGGACAACTCTAATTGCATAACAGGACTCCTACTTGAATGTTTTTTCGACGGATGAGCCAACCCTACATGTCTGGTCACAATGTCCTTTTTCGCCGGATCAGCCAACCCTACAAGTCTGGTCACAATGTTCTTTTTCCATTGTTTTTTCAGGAATATTTTTTAAGAAGAAAGGTCATATGAATCAACTTATCTTTTTTTTTTTTCAAGATTTTTTTAAAGAAAAAAGATCATATGAATTAACTTACACAACAAGTGCTAATTCCACTGTTTTTTTTTAATAATTCAATTAATTCATGTAATTATTATTAAAATTAATATATGACGAAATTAAAGTTAAAATTTTAATGCTTATAATATTTTTTTATTCAAACTTTTTTATGTAAAAGGAACTTGGACCAACTCCAGCTCTTCTTCGCTCTTAACGGTCCAAAGATACTCCTTCAAAGGACTGGACCTCATTTTCAAAATATGAACTTGAGGCTTCACCAGGCAATTCTCCTTAGTGGTATAGGTTTTTGAATACTAATATCAAGTAATGCAAACATGAGTGTGCAGAAAATAGCATAAAAAGAACTTTTATTTATTATTTTGAATTCGTACGGAATAATCATTTGATCGAATCAATAATGTTTGAGCTCTTCCAAGTTACAACAGGTACATGTGAAACCTCCAAAATCTTATATATTGTCCTCTATTTTGCTTGTTGAGCTGTTTCTGCAAATGCGCCAGGTATGAACCAGATATCACCAAAGAGCAACATACCCTCCACCTAGAGAAACGCCATCAAGCCCAAAGACACTCAATTTCGAACATATTAATAATGGTTGATGAGCTGCACCGACTTTGGATGAGCCAGGAGTATCATTCTGCCCCCTGTATCCAATTTAACAGGCAAATCAACTGCTCCTCTCACTCTTGGCTGACTTGAGATACTAACTTCATCATTACCATGTTTCTCTTTTTTCTGTCACTCCTTCATGTCTTCCTCTGCGTCTTCTTCAGAATATTTGTTATCTGAAGTGGCTGGACTACTGTATACTTCAACTGTTTCCTAAAATATAGTGAATTTTGAAACAATTAGAAAATGGATTTAAAAAACTTCAATGAAAATGAACAAAGATTAACGATTAAAATAACCAAAAAAAAAGAAAAAGCCTTTTGTAATATCCAGCTTTCCCCCTTATAAAGGACGTGTATATGCAAATCCTATGTTCAATCAATAAAGTAAGGATGGGAGATGGAAGGATAAGGCAGTTCACACCACTTAGAAAACAATGAAATGAAAAGAATAAAAACTATTAGAGTGAGGAGGATATTATTCGCAGATGTCAACTCTGATCTGGATATAAAAGATCCAAGAAGAAGACACTATTGAAGGATGAATATGAAAATGCTGTAAAATTATGATTCAAGTTGATTAAACATGCAATGATTGCAGACCACAAGTCACATGCAAGTGTTGACATAAACATTAGATTTCCCTATTAGCAGACTTCAACTGCATCTTTTTTTTCTGAATAACTCAATTTTTAAGGTTTCTCTACACCATAAGAAACAGAATTTTGTCACCACCTTGCAAGTAAGGAGCTAAGAAACTTCAGTAATTTTCTTTTTATAAGAGGGTGTAAATAAGATTCAAAAATTTTTTGCAAGCCAACTAACAGTTATACCTTTTCTACATGTTCCAAAGATTCACTGTTCTTGATAAATGAGGAAGCCTTCTTTTGATCTTCCTTCAAGTCCTTACTAGAAAGGTCACCATTCACAACTCCTATATTGGAGGAACCTTGGCCTGCCACAGTTTGATATTTCTCATTCTTTTCAGCGCTTAAGCCAGTTCCAGCGCCATTTTCCTTATCAGTGATGCTACCCTCTGTCTCATGTCCCTCATTTGTTAATTGATCAGCTTTAGCTGCCGCCTGTTGAGCTTTCCTCATTTCTTCCTCTCTTTGCTGTCTACTTCTTGCCTCTTGCTCCTTTAGCTGTTTAAATCTGGAAGATATAAAACATCAGATCTATGAGCAACTGCAAGTACAAGAAAGGCCATTCCACAGTTTAGCAAATATAAAAGTACCGTTCACCGGGGCGCAGCCCCTCTGGTGTCAACTTTTCTTCTAGTTTGGTCTCCTTTCTGGTGGCATTCAATTCAGAGAGAGACTTCTGAAGGCGGACTTGCTCTTCCTTGATAATATCATCATTAAGTTGCTTCACTGGATTCTTTGCACCTCCTAACTTTTGAAGCCATACTTGTTGTGCTGTACTTAATATGTTGTTTGTGAACCTGCAAATGCATAATTAATGTTAAGAAACATTCGCAAAGTTTTGATAGGTAAGAATTACAAAAAGCAATGCAACATAAAGTGGTGTATCTTCTAATACTTTAGAAAGAAAGGGCTTTGCATCTGCTCACCAATATAGACTTAGACCAGAAGGAACTGAAAGAGCAAAATAACCAATCATTAGAGGGAGGAACTTCGTCAGGGCTTGAGAGCTCTTCATGTTTGGATCATTGCTCTATGAAAAGAAACAAAATAGTTAGGTTATAGTAAATCAATTCTAACCTCAATAAGTAGTTTATACATTATGAAGCTGAAAGCTTCCTAAGCCATCTAGAAGGTAGATGAAAATAACTACACAACAATTAGCAGTATTTGTAAAAGAAATAATACTTGATAACTTCTCCAAACATAACGAGATAACAATTCAAGCAACATCATAATTGGAAAAAAAAAAAAAAATCATCAAGATGAGTTGAAAAAAATTTTCCACTTACAAAATTTACACGAAAAAGTCGTAAAGATCAACTGGCTACACATTATTATGGATAAGATTATAAATTTATTTAGATTTAAGATCTTTTGTCTTAAAATTAAACATGGAGTGTATTGTACATAACAAAGGTAACTCCTCAGATCCAAGTCAGTTATAGATAACTTAATATGCAAAACTAGAAAAACATTGTGCCTCTGCAAATTATCATGTTTCTTGCACTCTAGTCAACATCTTTTTGAGGTATGTCATATAGAAACAAAGTAAAGGGACATTAAAAATAACTTTCACAATATTAATAAATTGTATTTTAACCAAAGAAATAGTCTTGAGTAGGGGATTTTCGTAGTATGTTCCGTCATTGCTAAAAGAACTGACATACAACCATGCTAGTTAATGATAATATGACTGACCTGTGCTGATTGCATGATTTGGACAGAGACGTACTGTGAGACAACCAGCAAAACAGGTAACACAAGATATGCAAATGTATCTAACCATCCAAGAGGTGGGTGTCCATCCTAAGAAAACAGCCATACCACCAAGAATCAGAATAAAAACCAGAGCATTCAAAAAAAAATTTCATAATAAGGCAAGAGATGTCAAACCATTAAATTTAACAAGTAGAAAGAACAAAAAGCATATTAATTGTAATAATATCAGGCACTCACTACAAAAGGGAAAAGCCAAGAGATGCCACCGCCGTTCTGTCGAGCAGCAATTGTAGTTGGACCAGACAGTGAGGGTATCCAAAAGAAGCCTTCCGTGAGAAGTCCCTTGAATGAAAACATACAATTAGACATAAGAGATAGCTAAAAGCAACAGAAGTTTAAAATTAGTAAACCAACATGAATCTCATGTCACCTCATCTGCTACATTTGACAGGGCTCTATAAAGCCCAATCCACACTGGAATTGTGGCAAGAGTAGGCAGGCATCCTGTGGAGAGATAACAATGAAAAGCAGATGTAAATCTGTCACCAACAAATTATGAAATATAAAAGGTACTATAACACAAGAAGATGATAAATTTTTACAAAGAAAGCAGATGTAAAGAATAATCTGATGCCGTGTCTTTCTCTTTTGCATGAAGTAGAACTGTTTTTGACATGCCTCATTAGCAAAGACCAAAAGGGCATTAAAAAGGAAGTTCATAGCATTCCATTTACTATTATTAAGTTCCCTATTCCAAGATTTGATTTTCGGACACACATAAAATCCAAAACTTTGTTAAAGCCCTAGAATAGAGATAGAACATAATGGAAATAGAAAAGATGCAACTGAAAGAAATGCTGAAAATAACTAAAAGAAAGTATGTGGAATTCAAAATCTTTTGGAATTTAAAATAAAAGTGGATTATGTGGAATCTAATAAGTTACTGAAATTAATAAGGAACTGTGATGTGATAAGATGTATTATGGGCATTTCTTTCTTTTGCCCAAAAAAAAAAAAATGACGTATTATGAGTACCTGCTAATGGGTTTATTCCAGCTAGTTTATATAATCGAGCAGTTTCAAGTTGAATTCTCTCCTGCAAGTACAAAAGAAAAGTAACTCAAAGATTAAAATGGCTTCAACATACCCAAAAAACAAAAAATCTACATCAAACAATCCAAAGCTGTAAATATTCAATTGATACCCTCTTTTTTGTTCTGTCTTTCTTCTTTAGTCCCTAAGGCAATGAGGATCTATTCAATTTATCAATAACAAACAACTAGAACTACGCGTCCGTTTCATTAGCCATATTAACCAAAATAATAGAGTCATCCCTGCTTAAATTAACTGCAAAATTTCACCTGATTTCCAGCATACCGCTCCTGAATAGCCTTTATTTGAGGCTGTAATGAACGCATGGCCATTGCAGATTCTACCTGTGCGCAAAAACAGAAATTGGGAATAAATTGACAGGACTCAAGCCACTTTTTTCTCTATGAAATGAGCTAACTTTAAACTTCAAAGAAAAAACACATAATCCAGAAAATCAATAACGAAATATTGAGTGGAGAATTAGCTCTTCCTCTTTTCCTAATTCCTTTTTATTGTTTTTCTAGGTTTTATTTATCTGAAACAACAAACCTGTTTCCTAGTCAAAGGAAATGTAGCAGCCTTAACAAGCACAGTCAGAAGTATAATAGCAAAACCATAAGCGTACGGAACATGCAAAGCCGATAACCCTTCTTTTAAAACCTGAATGAATTCAATCCAAACAAACATTAATTCATTACCCAGAACTTTAAAAAGACAAATGCAAAAACAAAAAAAGAACCATTTTAATTACCTTCAAAATAGCTTCCATGGAATTGGTTATTCCCGAAAGCCAATCATTATTTTGTTTAGTAGTGGTGGTGGTCGTAGTAATAGCGTCCGAAGACGAAACAGCAGCGTCGGCAATCGTATAGAGAAGGCTTTCGGCTCTAGTAAACAGCTCTCTGATAACACCCTCGGAAGCATCAGGGTCGGGCAAGAGGCCAGGTTTGAATCCGAACTTGGCTACGGATAGAGAGCCGCGAAGAAATGGTCTGCGAGCGGAAAAACCGGGAAATTGAGTTCGATTTAAAAGATGATTGGGGGGTCCGGTTCGGTCAACGAAAGGAGTTAGGACAAGAAGCATGGTCGGTCTGAACGAGAGAGAAGAGGCCATTTAAAAGAAAAGAAATTTGAGCAAACCCTAGCTTTATAGTTGCAGAGGTTTTTGTCAAAGGTTGGTCTCCCGGGATTAAGTGGGGAGATAATGTTGATTTTGGAGAGATGGGAGCGGAATAAAGGATTTTTTCTTTTTTTAATGAAAAAAATCTACCCAGTGAAAGAGGAGAAGTCGATGGGGAATCCTATAAAAATATCTTGGCAAAAAAAATGGTCGGAGACGGAAATGAAATGTAAGCTATTTGTTTATTTATTTATTTTTTCACGTGACAAGAAGTTCATAATTGGAGCGTATAAAATAAGAGCTCGTTTTTTATACATTATAAGTTTAATTTTCTAACTGTACCAATCAGATTAACACTATATTTATATTTAGATAAATATTAATAAAAAAAAATTTTTAAGAAAAAAAAAAATTTCTTGTTTGGATAATTAAAATTAATAAAAAAATATATATGAAATTTGCTTGAAAAAAGAGATGAAATTTAAAAAATTATAAGATGATTGTGATCTATTTAAATTTTTTTATTAAGCTTTTAGTATTAACAAAAAGATGGATATAATATTCTTTTTATAAAAAATTTTTTTTAACTTTCCTTTCCTAACTTTTTTTTTTTAAATGGAATATTAAAAAAATTGAATTTATAAAAGAGACTAAAAATTATTTAGTTTTAACTTCTTTTTTTTCTTTAAATTAAATATTTATTCAAATAAGTGAAGATAGGGTTTTGTTTCATTTACTTTTGTTTCATTCTTCTTCCTTTAATCCAAATATAATGTAAGATTTAAGAGTAATATAAAAAAAATTAACACATATTTAATTTATTTTTAATTAATTTTGTTATATATAATAATTAAAATTTAAAAAATTTATCAATAATGAATGAAATAATTAAAATAAATTCATCTGAAAATTCTTTTGAATAAATATAAATTTAAATCCAATTGTTTCGAATTTACCAAAAAAAAAATCAAAAGGTTAAAATTGTAAAACTCGAGTTTAAAATCATTTAAATTTAAAATAATTTGAACTTGAAAAATTTAAATTCAAATACAAAAAAAATGTTGAAATTGTTATATTTTCTTACAAACTCCAAAAAAATTAAACTAATTAACTTTAATTTGAACTTGATATAAAAATCTGAATTTAAAATAATTCTAATTCAATAAAATATAAACTCAAAATACTCAAATTTGAACTTTCCGAGCTTGTCATTTTGCTACCTCTAGTGATAATGTTAAGAGGTAAAGCTGGATATAGGCAGAAAGCGACCAAATAATAAATTTAACGGGGAAAGAGAGTCAAATAATAAATTTTATAGGAAAGAATACTGTATATATAAGGGTATTAAAATTTTTTTTAAAGGCGTCATGGCCCATGCCGTTGATAATGTTGTATGATGTTATTGGATTCAAGTAACTATTGATATTTCTGATAAAATTATTAAAATTTAGAATTTAATTATTAATTTTTGGGATATTGATTAATAAATTCATAATTAAAATATTATATTAAAAAATTTTAAAATTAAAATATCATATTAAATATTTAATTATAATTTAAAAATCTTTTATAATATTAGCTTTTAATTTTTTACAAGGAAATCAGATTTAATATTTCAAAGCAATTTTAAATGCATTAAAAAAAAGTTAAAATTGATTTTTTTTATGGTGAAACTATGCTTAAAAGTAGCGTTAAAAGTTGAATTTCATGATGTGCACGAAATTATCGCATATTGCTTGGTCGTTGCTTACCAATTAAAGTTTCAGAAAAAAAAAATCTGATGTGTTAAAAAGGCTTTCACATCAAGTTAGGCAGAAGGTGGCTTTGCTGTGATGCTGTTTGAATCAAGTTTTGGAAGATGAAAAGGTCCATAAACAGGACTCTGGTTCATTTTGAATGTTACTACTTACAAATAGCAATAGGCATGAGCTAGCCACATGAGAAGCAGCTGCTTTCCATCTTGTGTTTCTTAAATGCGAAATTACAGGACTTTCCATCAATGCTGAGCTGCTTGCCCTTGAAACTTGAAACCCACAGAGGAAGACAGAGAAGCCCGAAGACAGGCTTGATCTTCAGACCTCAGCCCTCCAGCTTGGGCTTTGGACAGGTTAACCTAACTTTTGGACTCCGTTGTGTATTTGAGCCATTGGAGAAAAATTATTAACAGCAGCCATCCCCACTAGAGGGTTTTCATTAAATAATCAGACCGTTTTGCAGATTTTGTTACCCAAGTCCTATCTGCTTCTGCATTTGCTGTTTTGCATGATAATGGCTGATAGGGTGAGCTGAGCTAGGTTAGTCTGGTTTTGTTGGTTGAATGGACAAATTATAGATGACATTATAGTAGTCATTATGTCTGCAGTCTAAATTAGTTTTTCTATTCCAAAAGCAAGCCCAAACACTCCACCCGCCCTGTTTGTGATGTGTAGATAAATGAGATTACGTGAGGGGGTTAATGTTTAAAAATTGACCTGAAGAAGTAATATTGTGACAGGGAGGCGATAAGAAAACTCTGGTGGGGTATACGACATGAGGTCCATATCTCACCAATCACACTCTCTGGATAAGAGAAGAATCCAGAGATCATAATTCTATTGGACCTCATTTGATTCGCTTGACATCAAATCTATATCCCTGAAGCCGAATCCTCGGCCAAAGCCAACTGAAAGCCCATTTCTCTTCCACAGAAGCTCCCAGCATCTACCCGCGAGGATCGGCAGCAGAAACTGAACCCAAAAATATCAAATGGCAGCAACCGTAGCAACAATGGCCATGCTAAATGCAAAATGCCTGAGCATCAGCTCAACCAAGATGATCAACCCAACAAAGCCAACTGCAAAACCCATCTCCCTTCTCTCCATGCAGAACCTCCCCAATGGCCTCACCATCTCAAAACCAGCTGACAACCCAAACCTCCCGTCTTCACTAGCGGGCACTGCTATTGCTGGAGCTATCTTTTCAACCTTGAGCTCATGTGATCCTGCCTTTGCTGCACAACAGATTGCTGAAATAGCTGAGGCAGATAACCGTGGGCTGGCTCTATTGCTTCCCATAATCCCAGCCATAGCTTGGGTGCTCTTCAACATCCTCCAGCCAGCACTTAATCAGCTGAGCCGAATGAGGAGCACCAAAGGGGTGATCATTGGACTAGGGCTTGGAGGATTAATTGCATCAGGGTTTATGTCAACACCAGAGGCATCAGCCAATGAAATCGCCATGATTGCTGACGCTGCATCTAGTGACAACAGGGGCACCCTTCTCCTTTTCGTTGTAACTCCAGCTCTCCTTTGGGTGGCCTACAACATTCTGCAACCGGCTTTGAACCAGCTTAACAGGATGAGGTCTCAGTGAGATATGATTTTGTTTGGGGTGCGGCGGCATGTAAATTACCTGTAATTGCACCTTATGTTAATGAAACTCTATTTTACTTAAAACAAAATTTTATTACCTGTATTGAAAATCAGAGAATTTTTACGTTATTATCATGACATGTTAATTGCTTCAATATTAGTACTATATATATGTGTGATGTGAAATAATGGGGTTCCTCCATTGTAAGTTAATGTAATAATGAATAGCATAAAAAAGCTTTCCAATATGTTAATGCTTGAAGAATGGGTGATGACAATGGCTAAGAACCCCCAATCTCCACTTTAAAAGAAAGTTGCTTGGTCACAATCTGTTAAAAGGAAATGCATCTGAGATGAGAATCTATATGATGAGCGAGTAGCACCTGCTGCTTTCAATGTTTCAAATTAAATAGTTAACTGCACTACCCCAAAGACAAAGTGAAGAATATGCTCAATAATTAATGGATTATGGACATACTATTAAATATATAAAATGTATTCATAAAATAATTGAACATGAAACCAATTAGAGTATTAGACTAAATCTATTAATACTTCAATTCATATTAATACATTAAACATACTTTATATTTCTAAATTATAATATATTTTAAATGAATATGTGTCAATCATTAATGAATTTTTTAATTATAATCCCATTTCTCTTGTTTATCTTAATAAAAATTTTGTCATAACACAACACATACCCTTTATGCTTTGATAAGAAACATTATTAGAAAAAAAAAAAAAAAGAAACATTTCAGTGAATGAATAGTGAAATTGGAGATTGGCTAGTTTGGTGGCTCTTATTTTGTCTAATGCGGGGCCCTGCAGACAGCTATACGAGATTGGTCAGTGCAAGAGTTATGAATTATGAGCTACGCCACTTTGGGCACGTTTTATCCAGCTTATGCCACATGCACCGCATCTTCCTACTTTGCCGAACCACCCAACCTATTCCATTTCAATGTCAAAATAATAATAAATATAATAAAAGAAGCTTTTCACTAATTAATTCTAATTCTCACCCACTATTGGGGCTGCTTAATTTAATTACTTGTTTTCTTATTTCACTTAATTAATTTTATGCACACTACTAATCTTTATTAATGCTAAACTATACTTAGTTACTACTACTAGTTTGTTCATTTATTTACTTATTGAAGTATAAAATTTCGCTCTTAAAATTATTTTTAAAAAAATTCAAACAAAATCTAAATACCCTTTTATTGTATTACTAAACAACATTAAATATAAATCGTAATATATTTCTAGAAGTTTTTTTACATATTAATCTTTGTGTCTCATAATTAGTATTTGAATTTTATGTTTTTCAATCAATTATTTAAGTTTGATAAATTTTTATTTATAAATTATTATTAGTTAAAATTTTAAAAATATTATTTCAAAATTTGAACGAAGTAGTTTTTAAAAATATGCTTGTAAAATTTAATTTAATCATATATTTAAAATAATAAAAATCAAAATTAAAATTTTATTAAAAATAAACTATGGCAATATTTATAGAGAAAAAAAAAGGTACTAATTAATAATCATGTGAATAATTGATCTCAGTTTATACCAAGCTTTGCCCTTTTCTTTTCTTTTATTTTTTTTCCTTCCTATTTCCATTTAATCCATTTTCCTCCATTGATCCAACCCCTATATCTCTCTCTCAAGATTGAAACGCGCATCACCGAAAATAAAGTAAAGGACTTTGTTTTGTTTTTTTTTTTAGCTTTTATAAGAAAGAGAAACTAAAGAAAGTCAAAATTGTGCTAAGCTTTTTGTTTTTTGTTTTTCTCATGCAGGAATGAAAACCGTTAAAACTAAACCTCCGATGTTGAAATACTTTCTCTTCTCCCTCACCCTTTCTCTCCTCCTCATACTCTTCTTTTCACTCCAGCCTCTCCGCTCCCCAATCCTACTCACTACCACCACCGTCACCACCACCACAACCACCCTTCTTCTTCTTCTACTTCTGCTGTCCCCTCAGACGAAGACCTCAAAATCCGACCTGGCTACTCCTCCTACGACTCCTACATCGAACGCCAACTCAACAAAACACTCAACCCAAAACTAAGAAAAATATGGACAACCCGAGACTGGGACCGTAAAATCCAAGTCTTCTCCAGATTCTTCCAGGAACTGAAGCTCCGAAACCTCCTCTCCAACTCCTCCAAGTCTTTGTGCATCGGCGCCCGGGTTGGCCAAGAGGTCGAGGCTCTCAGACGTGTCGGCGTCTCCGACTCCATCGGCATCGACCTCGTGCCTTACCCGCCACTCGTCTTAAGAGGTGACTTCCATAACCAACCTTTCAATAACGAGACTTTCGATTTCGAGTTCTCTAACGTGTTCGACCATGCGCTTTACCCGCAAAAGTTCGTTGCCGAGATTGAGCGGACGCTGAAGCCCGATGGGGTCTGCGTTTTACACGTGGCGTTATCGAAACGGGCTGACAAGTACTCGGCTAATGATTTGTACAGTGTTAAACCGTTAGTTAAGTTGTTCCAGAGATCGCAGCTGGTTCGTGTCCGCAAAGTTGACGGGTTCGGATTGGACACCGAGGTTGTTTTTCGTAAGAAAAATATGATCCAACAGTCCTGATTTTTTTTTTTTTTTGTTTTCCTTTATCATTTACGTTTATCAAGTTTTGATATATAGGGGATAATTAATTGTTATTCGTTGTTAAATAATACATACAAAATTTGTTGTTTATTGTTTGGATTATTATTTTGTAAAGGAAGCCATCCGTCGATCATGCCTTGGCCATAAACTTTCTAGGGTATGCACCTAATTAGATTCTTTCCAAAATTTTGACACCACAGACTCGTCTAATGAGATTACATCTTATTAATATTTATTTTCCAAATCCATTATTTTTTTTTTCAATTATGATTGAGATTCGAATTCAATATCTTCACTTCTAAAATATCATTAAACTAACAGCTTATTGATCCAAAAGTCATTGTTGCCTTTATACCAAAGTAGAGATCAACGCTTTTGCACTAATTTAGTATATTAAATTATTTTAGTTTTAAACTTATATTTTTTAATTATACTTATTTCACTTAGTATAAATTATTTTGTTTTTTGAAGGGTCTATGAACTTATTATTAGATATCGATTTAAGAGTTGTCATTAACTTATTTATTTAGGTACGATTGATCATCTAATTAAATTTATCTTATTGTAAAAAAAGTCTCAAGTTTGATTTAAATATCTTTAAATGATATATTTTAATTCATAAAATAGATTTTATATTTGAGAATACGATTATGCACAAAAAATATTATAGTACCTTCACAACATATATCTAAAATGGTATCGTTTGATTTTAAATTATCAAAGCCTTAAAACATATTATTATTTCCCAAAATAATTTAATATTAAAAATTTTCCTTAAATTACTCCAATAAATTGATAATAATTTAAAAATATTTTCTTACTTTAAAAGTATTCAAGGAAATTATTTATCAAGTCTTGAAGAAGCTTGTAATTGAATTTATTTAATTTAAAAAAAAACTTTTATTTGTGATAACAAATGAGATTTAGAACTTTGGTATCGAAAACTTTTATCTAAATTCTTCAATATGTTGATAAAATTTAAAATAGATTTTTCCCACCTAAAAATTTTCTAAAAATTGTTATTTGCAATGCTCTTAATAATTATATCATCGAAGTTCAAAATATAGTTTTTATAAAAATAATTTATTTTCAAAAAATATCTTTCAATATATTGGTAAAATTTTTTGTCAAATATTATCTTCTAATATATTGATAAAATTTTATAAAAATTATTTTTTCAAAAACTTAATAATCACAAGGTTCTCTAATATATTGGTAAAACCTTATAAAATCATGAGCCCTCCAATATGTTGGTAAGACTTTTTGAAAAAATTTTTTTTTTTAACTTGAACCCTCGGTAAGGTTTTTTTTTTTGTTTAAAAATTATTTTTATAAAAAAAATTTACAAATGAATAAATAAATAAACAAACAAATAAATAAAAATAACCACATAAATAAATGAAGAAATAAATAATAAATAAATAAAATAAAATAAATACAAAAAATTCAGCTCGTCTTAATGACTTAGAAGCATGGCTAAGCTTCAGGAACAAAAGTTGGCTGAAACGACTGAGGACTTGGCTTAGCTCAACTCGAGAAATGGTTAGAGGAATCGAGTCATACGCTAAAGGTTGAATCGAGCTCAATAAAGCACACAAATCTTAGGACTTATGAATAGGGACGGCAATCCAACCATTCTGACGGGTTTTGACCCGACCCGACCCTATGAGGTGAATTTTTTTTTTAAATTCGGATTTCAGGTCGGGTCGGGTTAGATTTTTAGGCAAAATCGACCCGACCCGATATTATGTAAAAAATTATTTTTAATTAATTTTTTATTTATATATTTATTTATATAATGATATTTTTAAATATTATATTTAAAAAATAATATTTTATATTTAAAATTTAATATTTTATTAATTTCGAGTCGGTCAAATCGAGTACAATTTAAATAATATTGGATTTGGATCGGATTCGGATATAAAAAAAATAAAAAAATTTTCGAATAGAGTCGAGTTTGGAGCGAGCAAAACTCGACTTGAACCCGACCCGATGACAACCCTACTTATGAAAGCTTAAAATGATATCATTTTTTTTTTTTTTTACCGACTGCCCTCGTTCCTTATTTCTCTAACTTTCAATTTCTCTTTCTTTTCACTAGAAACATGCTGGGAAATTCAAGGAAAATTCTAGAAATCGATTAGATACCAAATTTCAGCCATCAAAAACTTTTCAACTCTCATTGAAAAATTCAATCAATTTCTCAAAAAACCAAAAAAAAAAAACCCTAAAATCTTGAATCCCAACCCAAAAATCCAAAAAAACCTAGTAAAAATAATGAATCAAACCTAAAATTTAAAATCCAAATCCAAAAAATCTAAAAACCCAAAGATCAAGACTGTTTTCCAAAATAATAGATTAGAACTAAAATAAAACTAAAAAAACACTCTAATCCCTAGTACTTGCTTGAACAATTTCTCTAATAATTTTTATATAATCTCTATGTATAATTTTTGTGTGTTCTTGCTGTGCATTGGAATAGGATTTATATATAGATTCAATTCCTTTAAATTTGAAAAAAAATAATTCAATGGAATCACTAATTTTGATATTTTGTAATTAATTTCTTATGTTTTTCCTTTTTCATGAAGATTAGGAAAAAAAATCCCAAAAATCATTCAATCCAATAATTTGTTTTTGATTTCTCCTTTGTTAAAATCCCATGATTTCATTCTTTTTGTTCATCCGATTCTTTTTTTTTGATTTTTTAATTTTACCCTTTGACTGTTGATTAAAAATTAAAATTATCATCTAAAATAAAGCTGGAAATTAAAATTAAAATTAAAATCAAAGTTAAAATTAAAATTAACATCATATTAAAATTAAAATTATAAATTTTTATTTTATTGGATCGCTTCTCAATCAAAACTTAATTTGCAATCGAAAGCCCACTTTAATTTCAAAAAAAATTTTCAGATGAAATGGGATTTGTACAAAAATAATCAATTAATTGAAGAAAGAAAAGCAATATAAAGAAATGAACTTTTTAGTCAAAATTAAGGGGAATATATTTAAATGAAGGATGTAAATTATAAAGAAATTCTTTAAAGATGTACTATATGTTGAATATTAAACGATGGTATAGTAGATCCAATAAAAATACTAGCTAATTTGATCTAATAGTAGTACCTAAGATTTTTTTTTCTAAGAATAAAATTCATTCTTAGAACCATTTAGACATGACATAAAATTAATTATTACTATCTTTAAGAGAATTAAAGTTTAAAATTCGAGTTCAATCCACTCTTGTACCTCTCATGTGCACTAGAAAAATAAAAATAATTGATTCAATAGAAATTGTGAAGCGTATGCATGATAAAGAAACAGTTAGAATATATATATATATATATATATATATATATATGTATGTATGTATGTATGTATGTATAATCATTTCCATTTTGCATTTACGAATGTGAAGCATGACGAAGCTAGAGACTGAATATTTGGTTAGATGGCTTCAATGAATCAAAGACCACCAACCACCCTTCTAAAAGCAAATCCAAGTTGTCATACTTGGTTTAAGTTTTGCTCAATTAAACTAAAATCAATTGATCTATTAATACTAAAAATGATTATTTATTTATTGAAACTGGAGGCGCCATTTCTGGGAATAACTTCCTCTGTTTTCCAAACAAAGGAATAAAGTGTTATTTTTGGTTCCACGATTTTTGTATAACTCCAAAATTTTGGATTGCTCATACACAGTTTCTTGGCACGGTCGTGTAAGTGAATACAAGATTGACTTTAAGACAAGGTTCTCAACTAAACGACAGCACAAAATCACTAGGCTCCAGGACATTGCAATTGAAAACTGCCATGTCCTCTCCATCAGATTCAGAACAATTAATTCAATGAAATCCAGATTTTTAATCGTAATTTTATATTGTTAGGAGAGAATGGAGTTGGAAAAGAGGGTATAAATATAAGTTTCCAAAGTACTAAATTCATCAACACACTTTCAGGGCGCAAATTACATTCACTTCCATTGTTATCAAATTTCCTTGCATACCGATAATGTACTATACACTACAGAAAACTACAAGACAAGGGGTGTCGGGGTGGCAACACAGTCCCTAACATTGACATCGGAGAGCACAAGATTGACCCCTGCTTCATGGTTAAGGAGAACAAAAATCCACCCCATAAACACATTAAAAAAAAAAAAATTCTGATTATGTTGCCTGACCATCTGGAACAAATTCATCAGTCTGAGTATCAAGGTCTTGAGAAGCTGTTAGTTTGGCTTTCTTGTAACTGCTTGAATTGCGAAGGATTGCATGCAAGGACATGCTCTTTGGGCTAGAAGATCTGCTCAAGTAAAAAACCAGAATTGAAAGACAAGAAAGGAATATGGGATTCAGACTATATATATGCTATTCAATGGGAAACTTTGAAATCAAACTAGCCATAGAGCTCATTTTTCAATGTGTCACTACTGTATTTAGGTTTTCCATTCTCTCTAGACTTTTTTGGAGGTTGTATTACGAATCTGTATTAAATTCTGGCCTCTACCATGGGTTTGGACGACTTTAGCTGAAAATAGGGCAAACGCAATATTACATACCTAAATTATTGGATCGAAAAAGAATTTTCTTTACTTCCATTTTTTGTCAGTGTTACCAAATGAGCAAAGAACTGAAAAGCTGCCAAAACAAATTTGAAGAATTCTTTCCTGCAGTTTGACATTGGATAGCCATCGCACAAGATCTTTGCCCTAGCTACCACTAATATTTGAAACCAATGCAAAATGAAATGAGAATAACTTTTTAAATTAATAATTGCCCACATTAATAATTTTCATTGTCAAGCTCAATTTTGAGAAGAAAAGGATGATAAGACAGACTACCTTTCACCACATGAAAGGCCAAATTTCACTTAGCAAGTTTAAGTTGCATGAGAAACTTTGTTGATGCATAAATATATTAACATCAAAGTATATCAATTGTACCATCAAACCTAGCAAGGAGATTCTAAACCATACAAAATTTACTAACAATTGCAATATGATACAAATATGCAAAATCTATATCTCAAAAGAAAGGTAAGTATTTATCAGTTTTAATACAACTTACCCTGGTTTTCTTCTGTTTCTTCCACCACCTTCTTTCCCTTCTGAGTTATAAGATCCTAAATCAAAATTTAACATAAACAGAAGAACCTATCATCTATGCAATCTGGATAAAAATTCACAATAAAAGAATGATGCAACAAAAGTATAAGAATAAAGGTAATTATGTTATATCTTCAAATTTGGTTATACATCAAAACTATATCTGGAAGAAGGTCAATAACCTGTATGTAACGCATACCAACAATATCAGCTAGAAACTTCAAAATATTTAGAAAAGGAAATCAGAACTTAACATGAGCAAACTCATTAAAAAAGATAAGGTGCATGGAGAGGGAGTTGGTGGCTGGGGGAAGGATTGGAAGTGGGGTACTACCTTTCATGGACATGAATGCAACAAAAAAAAAAAGAGACGGTGGAATTCTGAAAAATAAAGCTGGAATTTGGGGTACTTGTTCATTTTATTAGCAAATTATCAAGGCATAATGAAATAAAATGCAGCTGCAAACTAAAAGTCATGATATAATTAACTTTTTTCAGAAGTAATAACTATGTGATAAGGAATATGGATTACCATTTTGTGATGAACTAACATTAACACCACTGTCAGATGATGATGAACTATCTGATGGAGTTCTGGTACTGGCATCTGAGTTGTCCACTCCATCTTCATCATCAGAACTCTCCTTATCATCATGCTTAAATATTGTACCCATTGTAGAAAGTAAGCTCTTATTATTTGCCAAGCTGTTGACAACTTCCCCATGATTACTTCTCGTAGATTTTGCAATTTCCAGATGAGATCGCCGCTCATTACCTCCTTTGTTTAGATTAGTGGTGATTTTAGATCTCTCTACAGTAGAGCTTGATACAGCACTAGCATTGTTTTTCTCCAAATGGGTGTGTGCCCTTGAAGAATTGATGTCAATGAGCTTTTGAGCTCCTTTAGGAATGGAATTGGTTTTGTCAGATTTATTAGTTTGCAGAGATTCTCTCACTGCACTTTCAGAAATGGACAAATGAGTCTTACTTGATTGAACACTCGAGCTGTATGGTTCAACTTTCAATGAAGATCTTGGAGATAGGATGGAGCTAGATTTGGCAGCTTGAGCTTTTGCTTCCTTATGTTGATTCCCAATTAACATCTGTGAAGATGGTAAATCAGCTCTAGATCCACCAGACTGTACTTCACGTTTCCTCTTCTTCTTTTTTCCTTTCACCTCAGTTTCCACTCCTCTTTTTTCTGTTACTTTATCAATAGGCATCTCGCCAGAATCAACAATTTCATGCTGGCGTTGGCTTTTGATCCTTTCACTTTCACTGTGAACTTCTATGCTGTTATTAGCATGATCTACACAGGTGCTTTTAGGGTGATCAACATTGACAACATCTTGAATAGACCTTCCATCATGATTGGTTTTAAGTGTATTTTGGGATGAGCCAAGTTGAGTACGGACAGGGCTAAATCCAACACCTGTATTCTTAGATCCCAAATTCGATTCATTCAATTCAGCTGTTGAACTTAAATTCACGTTCACAGTCTTCCTTGAGGATTTACATGAAGCACTCACATCACTCATGTTATCAGCCAGGATTATTGGATCCCGGTGATCGACATCACCTTTTCCTCCCAATTTCGGTGTGTCCACAACAGTAGAACTTTTCTTCTTAGTTTTCTTCCTTGATTTCTTGTCCATATTTTCCACATTTGCTGGACGATTGTTGCATTGCTGCAAGGACTTCGGCACATCTCGAATTACATCATCAGCTCTCACATCAGTAACTGCAGGCAAACTGTCTGATGTTTTCATTTGTGATTCCTCTTTTCCATCAGTTGTGCCATCTTGCTCAGGATTATCACTCAAATGGACACCACTCACAGACGCAGGACGCTCTGCAGGAAATAAATCACTTGCAGGACCTCTATCATGTATCTGATCTACTGCTTCTTTTCCTCCAACCAGATCCTTAGTCTTCTTGGACTTCTTCATTTTCTTGGAAGACGTCTTAGGTTCCACAATTTTATCTTCCAATGTACCACTTTTATTTTCATGCCCTGAAACACCAATGTCATTCTGGAGATTAGTTCCCTCTTGGGACACAAGTGTGGGATTGCGGTTCACATGACAGGCATTCTGATCAATTGAATCTCTTGTCTTTATTCCCGACACAACATCTGGTTCAGGTGCTTCATTTTGGCTTTCCATGTTGCCATCACTAGTATCAGCCAAACCATCATCACCTACCAAAGTCAGTATTAATAATAGAAAAAAGTTAATTTCTTGCCTTAATTCTACTAATCATGGAACAGACAAAGAGAAGAGGAAGGTTGAAATGAAAGGGGAAAAAAATGTAAATAACTGCATATTAAAGAAAAAAATGGAAACTTACCCTCTGAGTGGGGCACTTTATTTGTATCTTCTTGCATCTCCGTCAAAGAGATCAGACAATGTTCAGGAATTGCTCCATCCATAGAAAATTTTCCAAGTACAAGTCCTGCATCAGCTTCACTGCCCAAATCTTTGTGATTAATAGCTTCTATGGCCTGAAAAGCATCCACATAAACATCTTTTGCAGAAGATATTTCACTACCTCCTTGACTAGGATTTGATTTTTGCCTTTTCTTTTTCTTCCTCCCACAACTTGCATTGGCAATCAACAAACGGTTTTCTTTTACAGATTCTGTATTACAATGGTCTAAGGCAGCACTTGTACTTTCCAGTTTTTGACCTAAAGAGGGCTTAGAGGCCGTAGTATCGGGTCCAGTGCCTTCTTTATCGAAGTCAGAAATTAAAACTCCATTTTCTATTAAAGAATTTTCATTACCATCTTTACTCTCAACTTTACGCTTTTTCTTTGATGTAGGCCCATATTGTGAGGAATTTTCTGTTGACTTATACCCTTGCTCACTGAGAGAAACATCTTTATGTTTATTAGTTTCACATTCCAAATGTTCTCCTGGAACTTTTGAGCCCTCATCAGCCATGGCCGATCTCTTATATCTATGAGAAGACAAACTCCTGCAGTTTTCATCAACATGAATTTGGTTTCCCAAATTCATATCATTCAAAACCGCACATATTCCATTCTGAAATGAATTTTCCTTGATTACATTGTCTGAATTGAATGCATCTTTACCAGATTCAACAACAAAAGCACCATTTTCTTTCACATCATGACAATGGATGGCATCTTTGTTTCTCTTTTTAATTTTGTGCTTTTCCTTTAAAACAGATGCATCTACAGAAGCTGGTAGATCTTCACATATTTTGTTATCGCCAACATTTTTCTGATGTACCTTTGGCCTTGACTCCTTACTGGTAGCAGGGAACAAAACCTTAGAATTACTATCAGCCATATGTTCAACTTCCATCTGCAAATTTTCTTGATTTTCTTGTGTGCAATTACTAAAACCAACCTGTTGAGAAGCAGAATTCTGCTTTGCATGATGGTTCTTTCCATCTTGTGGCAATGACGCATCATTGATGTTGGACAGTATTTTGGAAGGACCACCACCAACAGGTAGAAGATCAACCACATCAGCTGAAGAATTATTGGTTGTAATGCCAGTACCAGGTTTGCAGGAATTATGATTTTCCATATGCTCTTCTGAGCTTGAGGCATCAACAGAAAGAAACCAACTTTTGCTCACTCCACCAAAAGCACTTTTTACAAACATGGAATCTGAAAGGTGATAAAGATATCCTTTGCGCTTTACCTGTTCATTTTTAGGAAGTCATTTCAACATGAGATTTAGATCAATAGTAATAATCCATAACAACCTAGAAGTACAAGATATAGAACCAACCTTTAAGGCATTAATCTTTATCTCCCCAATCTTAGGAAAGCACAATGGGTGTTCATACAGTATCTTTTCTGCACATCAGCAGCACAAAGATATTATCTAAAACAGAACTTAAAAATACATAAAGTTAACGTTAAAACTGAAGTTGTTATATTAGGCACTGAAAGTTTGAGAGAAAGAACTATGTTTTATGAGGATTTGTGTCAGAAAAGACCCTTCTATTTTTCAGTATGATAAAACGTAAAGAGAAATAATCCATAACTTCCATTACATAACTACATCTTCACATCAAAACATTGCCATGTTACTTCCTGTTCAAACATTCTAGAGGAACTCTTGCACACATCAACAAATCTTTCGTCCATTTGAACAACTCTAGCTCTTTCCATAACCCGATTTTAGGTCCATTTCAGGGGCAATTTCAATAAATTTCGATTCAAGTTTTGATCTTCGAGGGCTCAATGGGATTAAAGTAGCATACTGACAATAATTGAAAAAGGGATCAGACGGTCACACCCAAAATTTTGCTCAGCGTGGAATGGATTGCATATAGCATTTATAACAAAACAAAAACTAATACATTAGAAATTTAAAGAAAATATGATTTTAGCTTCGAAAAGCAAAGCAATAAAAATTTTCCTAGACAATGGTAACCAACAAAAGTACCCATAAAGCAAAATTGGGACGGAAAAAGGAGAAAAGCAACCTACTTTTAAGATCAGAAACAGTGTCTGAATCGGAGACGATCATCGCGAGGTGGGTGTCGAGGCTGGTATCAATGAAAACAGTATTATATACAGTGGAACCACCGGAACCGGAGGTAGAATCCGGCTTTTCCATTTCCCTTTAAACTCGGCGGCGACTCAGAACTCAATAAGGGTTTGGAGTTTAACTGGAAAACAAAGTGTAGTTTTGTCGGATCACGGGTTTTTGTTTGCGTAGAAGAGGAACGGTCATGTCAGCATATGGAAATAGAAGAATGTTGAAGCTTCTTTTGGTCTTCTTAAAAGTAGTTCAGCGCTTCCTTTTATAGAAGATGAATGATAGGAACGGTGGCACTCGGCCAATTTCATATTTGGGTTTGGGCTACTTAAATCTAACCCATATAAATTGGGAATTGGGTTAGAATTATGAGCGAGGTTGGACCAATTTGCAATTTCCATTTTCGTTTTCTTCACGTCCTATCTTCCAAATTTTATGATAAACATATATAAAATATAAAAATTGCGATATTATGATTTGTGTAAACATATCAAATATAAAATTATTTTCTATTTTTGTCAAGTCATATATTACTTTTTATCAAAATTTTAAACCATACCATTTTTTTATTATTTTAATGTGTCTAAATTATTACATATATTTTCCATATTATATTTAAAAATATTATTATCTAATGCAAGAAATTTTTTATTTTCACAGAAGGTTTCAAACTTTGAATGTGTTGATGCGTGTCCATATAAAGTACATTACTTAATAATTAAAGGAATATGAGAGTACAATTTGCTCATGGAGCAAGTTGTTTAGAATTTGAATGCTAAAAAATTTTTTATGGCTTAGATTTTCTGCATCAGATGCTGTCATTGAGATGTTACAATGGGTATGATCAGCGGGGTTGAAACTAAAGTTAAACATGCAGTGGAAATCAAGTCAATACAGCTTCAACAAAGATGATAGACCAATACCGTAAGGATAAGTTGGGCCTAGATTTTGTTCTCCAAATGTCCAGGGCCAGAATTTGTTTGCAAGGGAAGGATAAGCAAAAAAAAAAAAAAACAAGAAAAGGTTCAATTTCTGTACTTTCATCCAAAGCATCCTAAATACATAATGGAGTGGTGCTTAAAAACAAATTTATCAAGAGGGTTATAATTAAATTTCAAAACTCAGCATTGTGTTTTTCTATTCCTTCTTCCTAGAATCTTTGAGTTGCCCCCTCTTTCGAATGCCAAGACAAAAGTGAAAACGCCATGCATCAACCACACTCTCCGGCAGTGAATAAGCCAAGCCCCAGAGGATGGAATGGGGCCAGTAGGGTGTGCAACGAGGTTCGTAGCCTATCCAGCGCATTGCTGCTCTAGCATAACCATCTGTTGATGGAACAAAGAAAGAGGATCTTTTGATTGACGCCATTTTGGTTGCCACATATAATGGAACCTGCATCAAGAAACCCCTTGATTGATCAGAGTATGTCAACAAAACAAATGGTAGTCAATCCACAGAGTCTAGCATCTCTCAATGTTTCTGACAATCAAGTTACCTAGAGTATTGGCGATAAAGGTAAAAATTTTATGACCCACAGTTTTAAATCATCCTTCCTAAATACTTAAAGCTTCTTCGAAATTAAACTTTTCTCTTGTGATCATACGAATGAATCCACAATTGAACATTGATCCTCCCATCTATTTTGCAAATAGAACACAAAGGAACCTTATATGCCAAAGCTGAAAGTAATTTTGTCAAGATCTGCACCTGCTGGTTCACATGATAACAAAATCATATCACAAATGTATACAGTTTTGGTGGCGTTCTACACTTGCTATTCATCCTCATCATATCCATCTTATCAAAGAAACCATTCAACTCATCTAAATGTATAATCACTAGAAGGAGAGGAAAAATGAAGGAAGAGAGAGGGAAGACAGAGAAAATTGGGTGGATAAAAAGAAAGTGAGATTAAGAAACAATGGTATCAAAAGAACAAAATTTCAAAGCAAAGTCTGAAGCCTGAAAGGCATTATGAGTTGGAAGGGATTAAGTATCCTAAAATCTAATGTGAAATTGACAATATTATTGCCTGTATGAGATATTGTGTGCTTTCACCATATGTGAAAGACAGCATCCTATTCCTGGAATTAATCTAATATCATTCAAAAAACATCAATAAGACATTGTTGTCTCAGCGATCTTATTCAATATATAAAGCCTTGTCAATTTGCTTGGTGCCAATAACTTTGACACAATTATAAGCACAAAAGAAAAGGATAGAAATAAGTATAAAAACCAGCCAATTGCCTCACATATGGTAAACATCTTGTTCCGTGAGAACAATTGCTTGATATACTGACGCCCCATACAAAAGAGAGTGAAAGTGTAAGTAATTGAAATAATTGTAGAGTCTAAAACAGTAAACCTTTTCTTCTCCCCAAAGAAATTAGCTAATATGATTATAAACAATATAATATTCCAGGTCCCCTAAGTAACGTCATACATTGGCCATGGTAAGTTCAACAAGCAAATCAAACTTGTGGACCTTTCAGGTCAGGTAGATAAAATGACTTTTGAAAGAAGAAAGCGAGAAAAATGTCAACCTAATTATTTGTAACTTATCAGGGCAAATAAATTGGATGGCCTACATTCATTATAAAATTTTACATTGCAAAACAAGAGTCTATTTTCACTTTTTATTAGCAAATCAAGTCGTTTCCAATTCGAGTATCCAGCTGTAATTTATATTAGTGGTAATGTGGCATTCAAGAGAAATATATTCAATATTAAATCATTGATTACTCATGGCCAGCTGTTTCTAACATATGACAAAGTGGTGATAATATAGTTCTAGCAATCAAATTTTGAAATACTAAAAATGCATACTGATTTAGACTAATTCACATCTGGAGTCTCACCATGTACGTTTATTATCAACTAAGACAGAAGCCAGAAGGGTTAAAAACGTTCACTTTTCATGCAGAAAGCCTCTCTAGCTTTATAACTCTTAGACTTACAAGTTATAACCACACCAATCAAGAATTAAAGTATAGCAAACATTACCTGACACTGGACATCAATTCCGCTATTCCTGTATTCAACATAAAGGCACCTTGAGAATTGATCAATATACCTGAAACAATCCCAAAAAAAAAGAAGACTCTTTTTAGTTGCTATAACCATAAATCAAACTCCAATTAAGTTTGCAAAAAGGCAAACACTTACGCCTTAGTAGCAGCATAAACAGCATAAAGTGGATCAGAAGGGATGACAATAGCAGCACCAGAACCAATATTCACAATTGCACCCTTCTTTCTCTTCACCATCCCGGGCAAAACAGCCTGAGTAACCTTAGTAGTACCTTCAACATTAACCTTAATCAAATTCCTCAACAGCTCCTCATCAACCTCGTGGAAAAACCTTGCATATGGATATGAAATCCCAACATTATTAATCAAAACCCCAACATCCAATCCTTCAATAGCTTCTTTTATATTGTTCACACCTTCATCAAAATCACCAGTGAAGTCCACAACAACTGTCTTGATCTGAATTTTCCCGTACTTAGCCAAGATTGAATCAGCAACATCTTTGAGTTTATCAGGATTACGACCCACCAAGACAAGATTAAGCCCCTTCCTAGCTAATTGAAAGGCAAAACCTTTGCCTATGCCATCAGTTGGTCCTGTTACAAGACCCCAGGAGCCATATTTCTTGAGATTCTTACCAGGTCTAAGGAAATTGACCCAGACCCATTTGAGAAAAACAAATGAAGATTTCAAGAGTGACAAAGAACCCAAAGTGAAAAGAACAAGAATCCATAAAGGTTGAGTCTTGAGAGTATGTAAGAAACAGGTTGCCATGGATTATGCGGAGGAAAAAGTTGAAACTTATGTGAATATGACCAAAAAGAGAAAGATCTAAGGGGGTGACAAATAGAGTGAACAAAAAGGGAAAATCTTTAGCAAACTTCCTAGTTCCTTTGGGTTTGATAGAGTTGGGTATGGCTTCTAGCCTTCGACTATGACAAATAAAGAGAGCAAGAACAAAATGCAAAGGATTAAAAACACACGAGATCGGCTATGCAGAAACAGACCGGGGGGGTGGGGGGAATGGAATTAAATGAAGGAATAAAAAAGAAAGGAGAAGGATGGATTTTTGAGAAGGAAAAGGAAGAGGTGGGTGAAGTAGATGAGCTGAAAACCAACTTAATTAACTACTTAAGACGACAGACGTAACTTAAAATCGGGAGATCTTATCATGTTCTGTTTTGCCTGTTCCTTAGTTTCATTTTATTTTGTTTTATTTTCCTATTTCTTTTCTTAAACCTTTTGTTACTAAAATGTGTTCAAATTTTTTTCGAAAGCAGAATCACCATTTTAAGACTTGATTCGGTGATAACTTTTACATCGTTCCGCATTGAGATTTGCGATTTGCGATTTGCGTTTTATTATTTGAACGTTCGAATAAAGTCTAGTGTGCATTAACATTCAAAATTGAATAAAAAATTACAGTTGAAATTTTAATTCATTATAGAAATTATTGAGAATGAAATTTGAATTTATTTTAAAAAATTAAAGAATATATAAGTAAAGGGTGTAATAAGGGGAAAAGATAAAAGTAAATGTTTGGCTAATTTGTATAGAACATGCAAGTTAAAATAAAATAATATTGATTAACTATTAAATTAGTTATCATATTATTAGAGTTGACATTTGAAATGTACAAATTCGAAAGAACTTATGAATATAATATTTTTTAATCAAATAAATAATAAAATAAAATAATTTAAAGAAAAATTAAAAAATAAATAATAAATAAAAATAGGGTAATAGTGCGTTGGAAAAACATTAGAATTAATGTACCAAAAGAAAAAGCATTAGAATTAAGTTAGTAACTTGCATATCACAAATAGAGATTTCATTATAATAGTAGTTGATATGAAGTGATCATTCTAAAAATTATAGTAATTTGCATATAGTGATTAGATCATCATATTTAATAAACACTTAGTGATCTTACGTGATAATGATATTAAATCATTGAAAATAATCAACTAACTATCTTGGAGAGTGATCTAGTTCCCATCTAAAAGAGCGAAAAACTTCTATTACAGAGAAAGTGATATGTAAAATTAGTAATAATCAATATTATCTATTTAATACGTGAATTAAAAATTTGATTCCTCTTAAAATTGTAATTATTTTATACTATAAATTTTATATTTTCAAACTAATATTCATTATAATAAGTTCAAAAATAATTTGTGTATTTTTTTACTTTTTCTAATGTTTTACATATAAATATAATTTATTTATTTATTTATTATGATTTTAATATATTAGTTTTATTTTCTAATTCAAAGTTTTTTTACATAATTTATATTTAAAAATTAGCTTACTTAATAAATAAATATATTTAATAAGTTAATTATATTTTTATAAAATAAATAGAATATTACTATGTTTTATGAATTATTATCGTTAAACAACATTTAAATTATTAACTTATATAATTATTACAATAAGGATAGTTATTTTCATACTTTTAAATAAATAATATTTAATTTTTAGTAAAACCAAACACAGTGATCTTTAATTCATATGAATTAATAATTGTTAACCAAATAAAGTGATTTCATTTCACAAATGATAAAATCATATTGGTGATTACATTATAATGAAAAATGTTGAAAATGATAACAAATGCTACCTATATTTTAGTTAAGATAACAAACAAAGTATTCATCTATGTAAACACCCAATTTTTTCCAGGACGATTCAAGTTTATCGACTGTTAAGTTTGATTTAAGCATTTTGATTTGAATCTATTCGAACACTTTAATTGAATATACATAATTAGGCTTGTTTGATTTTGTTTTGAATGGATCATTTTATATGAGTCAAGATTTGATCTAATTTAATTTGGGTCAATTCAAAGTTTATTTATTTGGGCTTACAGGCTTAAAATGCAGTAAAAGTCCAAATTCTCTTTTAAAAGCCAATCTAATTCCTTTTTACGTAAAGCCCATTTTAGCTCATTTGGGCTTGAAAAACCTAACAAACGTCCAAAATTATTTTTAAAGCCCATATCTATTTTGTTAAATTTTAAATTAAAAAATTTTAAAATTAAAAAAATAAAAGACATAAGGTCGGTTACCATAACAACAACCTTCCTTTACCTTTCCTTATCCCAATTTTCACTTTTTCTTCCCCCTATTTGGTCGCATCATTTCTAGCTCTCCTTCTAGTTTTCACCTCTCATTTTACCTATTTACTTCTATCATACATTGATAATAGACCCAATGTCTCAGATTTAGCAAGTTACAAAGTCCTAAATTTAACATCACATTGCTGAAATCCTACAAAGAATTGAATTTTGTTGTCTTATATAAAGGCTGGTGTTATAAGAGCCAATGAGAGCTCGACATAGAAGGGGAAAGAAACAAATAAATTTTTCAAAAATTAGAAAAAAAAAAGCACACAAAGCCCATCCTCTGTAAATTGAAATCGACCATTAACACTACCATCTAGCCTTTTTTTTTAAAAAAAAAAAAACCATTTAATTCCTAAAAGCAATAACCCACTTTTACTTATGCCAACCTATTAACAGTTCAATTAAATAGCCAAAATACCTATATAGCAACCTATTTTCCCATCCTTAAGCACCCATAAGGATTAAAATTCCATCATCTAACCGAACCCATTTTTCAACACCATTTGGCTAAACTCACCAACACCAACGTCCATCGTTAGAAATAATTTGCACCATCATCAAGGCCTCTTTACTCTTTTGCAAACTATCACACACCACCAACCACCAACCAAAACACCCAAAACCTATCCATTACCAACCACCTTCTCTCCCACAAAACACTCCACCCTTGTAACCTGCCACACACAACCCCGAAACAAAAAGGAAAAAAAAAACCACCCACAAGTCTACCAAACCCAAAATTACATCTAAACTTGTCCAAAAAAAATCAAACAAAAAACACAACAAAAAAATCACATCTCTTGAAACAGGGAATAACAACACCATAAATAAAAAAAGGTAAAAAAATAAAAAAATCTTTTTAACTGAATGCTTTAGCGATCGATCTAGGAGATTTGATGAAGTTTTGGAAAAAAAGACCTCATATTTGGAATTAGGAGGCCAAAGAGGTTTTTTGGGTGTCTTTTAGGAGTTTTTTGGTAATCAATGATGATGACTGGCAACCGAGCAATGGTGATGGATGGCAAAAAAGATGATAGTGGTCAACCAACTTTTTAGATTGGTTTAAAGAGCTTTAGGCAGTTTTTTTTTTTTGGCAAAAAAGGAAAAAACAAACTAAAAAAGGTTTGGCTTTTATAAAAGAGGAAAACACCAAAAACGACATCATTTTAGTTAGGGAAGATCTATTCGTGATATAGTAACCGAACTCAAGGTTTGCATACCTGACCTGCCTTCTCATCAATTTTCAACTAATCCAACTGAATCGTTTCTGAATCAATTGGACCACACCTAAACCTTTTAAAACTTGTTGAATCGAGGCTGAATAGAGGAAAACCACCTTGGACCATCTTAAACTGGTCGAACCATCCTACTGAATAGTTAATTGGTTTGACTGATCATTTTGGGTAAAATTTTAATATTTTATTTATTTATTTTTTTTATGCATGTTTAAAAGCTTAGACTTTGGAATGAATATTAAATCTTGATTTATGAAAAATAAAATAAAATAAAATAAACAAATAAAAAATATAATTTTTTAATCTCACAAATAAATTAATTTCAACTCTAAAAAAAAATCAAATGATTTCATAAAAGGGAAGAGAAAACTATACTTGATGATGAAATTTTGAAGTTATCCAAGTAGTGAGATTTAAGAAATCTCTAGGCACTACAAAAAAATGAAAGATTAGTGGTAGTTTTGTAGTAACGTTTCGCTTACAAATGCCGCTAGCTTTCATGTTTATATAAAACTTAAGGCGTTTATTATCAAAACACCTCTAAATATTCAAATAATGGCATTGTTACTTATAAACGCCACCCAAGACTTGATATTAGCGGCGTTTATCGACTAAAACGCTTTGAATAATCCTATCTTAAAAATTTGAGTGAATACTAAAGGCATTTTTTGGTAAAAAATGGCTTGAATAATCCCGTTAAAAAATTGATAGAGAATTACTTAAGGCATTTTTGGCAGACAACACCTTCAATAATTCTTTCATAAAAAAATGTATGCGATTATTGAAGGTATTTTCAACAAGAAACGCCTTTAATAATTCCACCAAAAAATTTCACAGGCTTATTGAATTCATTTTTTGTCAAAAACACCTTCAATAAATATCATATAAAAAATTTCGAATCATACGGATGTTAACCATAAGTGGTAGGTTCGATCCTTCTTTTTAGCCTTTTTTGAGTTTTTGTAGAGATTATTTGTAATTGATTATTCTAGGTATTTTTTGGGCAAAACACTTTCACCAATTTCTTCAAAAAATTTTGGAAAGAATATTGAAGGTATTTTTGGCAGAGAAAATGCGCTTAATAATCCATAGAAAAAATATGGAATTGATTCTTGTAGGCATTTTTGGCCAAACTCACCTTTAGTAATCCAATCAATAAAATTTTAGTATGGATTATTAAAGGCAATTTTTGTTAAAAACGCCTTCAATAATCCGTACACAAAAGTTAGAATGGATTCTTGAAGGAATGTTTGGCTCAAAATGCCTTTAATATTTCACACGATAAATTTAAATGGTCAGATTATTAAAGGTGATTTTTTTGAAAAATGCCTTCAATAACATTTTGTTAGGGATTATTCAAAATGTTCTCGACAAAACATGCCCTTAATAATCCATACCAAAATATAAAATGGATTATTGACAGTGTTTTTGGCCAAAAACGCCTTCAATAATCGATTCAATTAATTTTTAGTTGGTATTATTGAAGGCAGTTTTTTTTAAATGCCTTCAATAATCCATACAAAAAAGTTGGAACGGATTCTTGAAGGCGTTTTTTGCCCAAAACAACTTTAATATTCTACACAATATTTTTTTTAAGTGGGATTATTAAAGGTGATTTTGATTAAAAACACCTTCAATAACATTTTGTTAGGGATGATTCAATACGTTTTTTTGCTAAAAATGCCTTCATTAATCCCATCAAAAATATATTTTTAATATTGTATATGTCAACTTAGTTGTAGGTTTATACCCAGAAAACATTTGAAGTTAGTTGTATATTTATAACCAAAAAATATTTGGTTTATATATGTGATACTATGAATTATATTTTGGAATTTACACAATGAACATTGTTGTATTTCAA